AGCTCTTGCACATTGAACTCGATCTTGTCATCCCCGATTTCAAGGATGAGTGTACCCTTCTTCACATTTATGATTGCTCCAGCAGTGGCTAGAAATGGTCTTCCGAGAATGATAGGAACTCGGGCATCTTCTTCCATATCCAAGACAACAAAGTCTCCTGGAATATAGTATTTATCGATCTTCACAGGAACATCTTCAAGAATGCCGATTGGGTACTTTACAGAGCGATCAGCCAATTGTAGTGCCATGGATGTTGGTTTTGGATCACCCAAGTGTAGCTTTTGACATAGAGAGTATGGAATCAAGCTAACACTTGCACCAAGATCACAAAGAGCTTTGTTTACTTTAGATCCTCCGATGTAGCATGGAATTGAAAAGCTTCCAGGATCACGCAGTTTTGGTGTGATCTTATTTTGGATAATGGCACTGCACTCTTGACTCATGGCCACAGTGAGAGGATTTTCCTTCTTCTTTGTTAAGATCTCCTTAAGAAATTTGGCATATGAAGGAATTTCAGTGATAGCATCAAGCAAAGGAATAGAGATATCCAATTGCTTGATACGGTTCAAGAACTTGGTTCTTCGTTCCTCAATATGTGATTTCTTGAGTCGGTTTGGAAAAGGAATTGGTGGAGCATATTTCCTTATCAAACCCTCATCTTCTTTCTTCTTTCCTTCTTTGATCTGAATTGACTCCGGCAGCATTTCAGCAGCATCTTCTTTGACTTTGTTCTGAGCTTCTTCCTTGGCATCCTCCCTTATTTCTTCATCGGGCTCACTACTCGGAAGAGATGGAGATTGAAGTTGTTTCCCACTCCGAGTAGTGATAGCATTCATTTTTTCTCTTGGATTCTCAGGACGAGCTGGACTTTTTCCAGTCACCTTTGTTGAGGATGTTGATGCTTGACTAGAGATTTGATTTTCAAGCATCCTATTGTGAGCTCGAAGTTGAGTAAGCTCTTCAGAAATCTTGTTTAAGGTTTCGGCTTGGGCTAGTTGAGATTTGAGTAGCTGATCAACAATGTTATCCAAGCCGGGAGCCGATGGTGTTTCAAGACTTGACAGGATCGGCTTTTGTTGATTTGGAACATAGGGGAAGCTTTGGTTTTGCTTAAACTGTTGATTGTTAGCAAAACCTTGGCCACCTCTAAATTGTTGTTGCTGTTGATTTTGAAAGCCGGGTGATGAACTCCGATAAGCTTGTGGATTGGCAGCTCCACTGGGATTGCTCCAAGAGAAACCAGGATGATTTCTATTTTGAGAATTAAATCCGCCAAATGGATTTTGTTGTTGCTGCGGCCGGTTGTAGTTGTCATAATCAACTTGCTCCATTGCATCCCATGGACATGTGGATTGATCATGTTGTCCACCACAGGATACACACATGAGAACAGGAACAGGAGGCGGTGCTGGCGTAGTGTTTTGCACAGCAGAGACTTGAGCAATCTTTTGGATCATGCTCTTCATGCTATCGACCTTAGCAGCCATGGCCGACATTTGATCAACTTCGTACATGCCTCCATTTTTTGGTTGAGCGGATGGACGGTCAGAGTACCAAGTGGATCCGTTTGTTGAGATCCGCTCAATGAGTTCTTCAGCTTCGTCAAGTTCAAGGCTCATGAATGATCCGCCCGCTGAGGCATCCAACAATATCCGTGAGTTTTCATTTAGGCCTTCATAGAAAGCCGTCATTAAGTGCCAGGACTGGATATTGTGATGTGGGTATTGCCTTTGAAGATCTTTGAATCTCTCCCAAGCCTCGTAAAGGGGCTCATTTGGATTTTGCTTGAAATTTTGTATCATCCGCCTGATTTTTGCTGTTTTGGAAGGCGCGAAGAATCTTTTGAGAAATTCTCCGTGAAGCTGGTCCCAAGTTGTGAAGTGATTGTCTGGAAATGAATCCAGCCAGCTTTGAGCTCTGTCCCTTAGAGAGAATGGGAACAAACGAAGTCTGATTGCATCGGTTGGCACACCATTGATTTTGAACGTATTGCACGCTCGGAGGAATTTGGTGATATGGTTGTGTGGGTCCTCCGTTGGTCCTCCACCAAACTGATCAGATGAGACCATGTGGATGACAGCAGGTTTGATTTCGAAGTTGTTTGCTGTGACATCTGGTGGAATAATGCTGTTATGTTCTGCCACAGGAGGAGTGACATAGTCAGAAAGAGTCCTCCTGTTCGGAACTTCATTTTGTCTTCTC